ACACACACACACACACACACACACACACACACACACACACACACAAAGTATAGACATGTGAATTCTGTTAAAGGGACAGTTCACCCAAAAATAAAAATCACCCCATGATTTACTCACCCTCAAGCCATCCTAGCTGTGTATGACTTTCTTCTTACAGACGAATCCAATCGGAGTTATATTAGAAAATGTCCTGCTCTTCCAAGCTTTATAATGGCAGTGAATGGGTGTTGAGATTTTGAAGCCCAATAAAGTGCATCCATCCATCAGAAAAAAGTGCTCCATGCTACTCCGGTGTGTAAGAAAAACGTCTTACGTCAACCGCTGGAACGCCACTCTCTCGTGAACGTGCGTACGACAGTTAGCAGAAGCTAGAGATTACTGTTTATAAAGTTTTAAATATGGAGATTTTTCTTACACAAACGCATTGATTCGCAACGGGAGGCCTTTATTCACCCACCGGAGCCGTGAGAGGCACTTTTTATGATGGATGGATGCACTTTATTGGGCTTCAAAATCTCAACACCCATTCACTGCCATTATAAAGCTTGGAAGAGCAGGACATTTTCTAATATAACTCCGATTGGATTCGTCTGTAAGAAGAAAGTCATACACAGCTAGGATGGCTTGAGGGTGAGTAAATCATGGGGTGATTTTCATTTTTGGGAGAACTGTCCCTTTAATCAGTAGTACTTGCTTTAATGGATCAGGACTCACCGCACTCTTTGGCGGCGCTGATGCAGAGCTCTTCTGCCACGTATTCTCCGTGCGGATACGTCAGCGCGCTCGCCTCGTCTCTGCAGCTGTACAGATGAACCTGCAGGGCGGCGCCACACGCCTGCTTCTCCGACGGCCCGTCACCGCTCACATGGGATGCGTTCGCACACAGCTCCATGCTAACAAACGCTGTCAAAGCCATTTATATTTCACCTGAAGAGAGACGGACACAGTCTTTACTATAAAACACACATTGCTTTATTGGAAAAGATGCTAAATTGAATCTTCAGCACTAATACTTAGGGTTGCAAAGGGGTGGAAAATTTCCGGAAACTTTCCAAAAAAATCCCTGGAATATTCCAAATAAATCCTGGAAATTTTCCAAAATTTATGGAATATTTCTGAAATTTACTGGAAATTTTCCACCTTTTTGCAACCCTACTAATACTACACTAACCCTGCGTTTAACCTCAGCTTAGGCTCAGTTTTTAGTCGCTTTGGATAAAAGCATCTGCTAAATGCATTAATGTAAATGTCATTAAAGAGTTCAGGGGAAAAAGATAAAATTCTGTTGATGTCCTTTTAAACCCTTATGACTTTACTTCTGTGAACATATAAAGAGACGTTTAGCAGAATGTTCAGCAGGGGCTGAAAACAGCAACATTAAAGTGTTTGTCTATGAAAATATTTAAGAAAAAAAAAATGTCAACCAGGTGAAACATGCTTGACGTTTGTGTTTTAAATGAATGTAAATGCAGATAAGATTTACTGAAAACATTATCAGGGAATAAATATAATCATATGACTCCAGAAGACTTTGATTGAAGCACATAAATCACATGAATGACTGTCACAGGCGCTTTAAAGTGTTTCTGGAGCGTGACGTTCTGATCTCTATCTATCTTTACTGTATGATAAAGAGCGGCATGAACATCCTGCTAAACACTTCAAAGTCATACGGGTTTGAATGACGACAGAATTGACATCTGACGTCTTTTTATTGTGTTTAACTTGACGTGTATCGTTCAGCACTTTGGGTCAACCATGAGCTGTTAAAGGTGCTTTAAAAGAAGAAAGAAAAAGAAAGAAAGATTTGACATTTCTGGATGTTCCCCTCTATGTAACACATTGGACAACTCTCTGTATAACTTTTTATATTGGCTGCTCTGACCAGTGTTGAGGAAAGTTACTTTTAAAAGTCATGTATTACAATATTGTGTTACTTAGTTACTTTTTATGGAATGTAATGCATTACTTTTGCGTTACTTTTCACCCGGGCTGGCCTTGCTTTTGTGTTGTTTAATAAAAAAAAAACCTAAAGTCATATTTTGGGCAACTTTAAATGCCCTTTCACACCAAAAATGAAATGAATAAGCCTCCGTCTGAAGGAAGAGCCTCTGTCTGCATTTACTCCTGATTTCTCTCAACACGAGGACAGGAGAGCTGTCAGCCAACACATGGGAAAACAAAGTAACTAGTATTACTTAATTATAAAAAGTAACTCTGATATTGTTTTTGTAAATTGAAAAGTAATGCGTTACTTTATTAGTTACTTGAAAAAAGTAATCTGATTACATAACTTGCGTTACTTGTGATGTGTTACACTCCTAACACTGTGTCTGACGGTGTTTTACTGCTCGTCTCACAGTGACACTTTCAATATTTCTGACTTTTTTTTACCTCGTCTTACACACAGTCTTGCGCACACACACACACACTCACACACACACACACACACACACACACACACACACACACACACCACACTCACACACATACACACACACTCACACTCACACACACACACATACACACTGTGCAGCTGAAAACCACATGCAAGAAAAAGGCAAAGTGCAGAAAATGATACACTATAATAAGCGTTTGTGTAATGTGACAATGGCGGTTAAAGTAAAACTTGTTATCAGCTGATTTGCAGGGTAATGAACCTTCTGAAAGTCAGTGGAGCTTTACAGCGACTGTAACGAGACTCCAGGGAATCAATGCAGCAAACAAACACGACCGAATCGAACGAACGCTGAGGCTCAGGGCCCGGTTGCATGAAAGTCCTTAAAGGGTTAGTTCACCCAAAAATGAAAATTAGGCTGCGTTTTACTCACCCTCGAAGCATCCTAGGTGTATATGACTTTCTTCTTCCAGACGAATCCAGTCGGAGTTATATTAAAAATTGTCTTTGATCTTTCAAGCTGTTTCATGGCACTCAGCGGGTGTTGCAGTGCTTCGGTTCAAAAGAAGTGAAATAAAAAGCACCCATCCATTAATAAAAAGTGTCTCACACGGCTCCGGGGGCTGAACAAAGGCCTTCTGTAGCGAATCGATGCGTTTTTGTAAGAAAAATATCCATATTCAAAACGTAATAATCACTTTAATCTAGCTTGCGCCAGCAGTTGTAAACAGAAGCAGCTCCGGGAGCATGACGTATGAGTTCAGCGCTGCGCATGCGCCGGTGCGTCTCGTGAAAACCAACGTTTGTTAACAGCAAAGGAAGCAAAGTTTCCTTACATTAGCAAAGGAAAACCAGTCTCCTCTTGGCTTATATCGAAATCCTCCGACATTCTTCTTTACAAATCCTCGTTTTGTACTTCTAATTCTTGACCGTTGTTTCGCCTTGATCTCTCTGCTGCGTTTCCGCGTGGACTGATGTATGCAACACCCGCTGAGTGCCATGAAACAGCTTGAAAGATCAAAGACAATTTTTTATATAACTCCGACTGGATTCGTCTGGAAGAAGAAAGCCATATACACCTAGGATGCCTCGGGGGTGAAGCCTAATTTTCACTTTTGGGTGAACTAACCCTTTAAGTAATTTGACTTAGGGGTATCCCTGAGGGGGACAAAATCCCTGAGGTAAGGGATTTCTTTAGGAGCGCTGCAACAAACGTCTTAACTGTCACCCTTACCCAAGTGTTTATACTAAGCGTTCACGGTTACTATAGTTACTACATCTCACAATAAACAGATATGTATATGACAATAAACAGAACATAATGAAATACAGACCTAACCAACTAAAACACAGACAAACATTAAATAAGCATGAGCGCTGCCAGTTTCTGTGCTGCTTTGTGTACAGTCGTTACAGAAGAAACCGCTTTGTTTCTGCAGTCTTTCATGCGACCGGGCCAGACCATCAGACAGCTGCGTCGCTCCGTCTGAACATGAACGACTGTGAACACAAACACCAGCCAACACTGTGCCATCAATAAAACAGACTCCATTTGATCTGATCAGGAGCAATCATCTGGTGACGGCTTCTTGCTTCAGTGATTTTAGTTATTATAGTCCACAAACACAGAACGCTCTGCTATATGACTGCCAGAATCCTGAACTGTGGGAAAAGAAGACGAGACCATCTCTGAACAATTACAGCTCGCTATTTAGCCACGGCTTGAAATAGTTGATGGCACAACAGCAGAGCGTATGGAAATTCATAGACTCGTGTGCGTCTCTCCTGAGCTTCTGTGGCGAAACTGATCAGAAAGAGGAAATGAAAACATCAGAGCATGTGAATAATATTAAACTTAGCCTGATTTAATCATGTGTGTGTGTGTGTGTGTGTGTGAGAGAGAGAGTGTGTGTGTGTGAGTGTGTGTGTGTGTGTGTGAGTGTGTGTGTGATTGACAGTCACTGCTCTCTTGGGTTTTTCCTGAGGAGTTAATGATGTGTTTCCATTAAAGCTGCAGACTGAAACTAGTTATTCCAACAGGAGACAGCCATTTCATTTAAAAAATGAGCCCTTAAATACAAATGTGTGGAGCCGCTGGGATTCGTTCAGATCCGCAACACACTTCAGCAGTTCTTCTCTCATCACCTCGAGTTCTTCTGCGGTTCAGGAACGCTAGAACCTGTCCTCGTTAACAAGCGGAGCAGGTTTCCGTTCGCTCTGATGTGTGAACGCCACTTGATCCGAATGAGTCATTTCACAAGCTCATCTGATTCAGTGTTGCATGTTATAATGAAGCCTAGCAGATGCTGGAGCAGCTTTGATTCTGAAATCAGCCGCGCTCAGACGTGTTTCTAAAGGTGATCTCGAGTTCACAGCTGTTTGTCATTCATCTCCACTTGTTCATGTCTGTGCGTGTCTACATGAAGTAATCCTGGACTTACGACACGCAGCTATAAACACAGTCTGCAGAGAGGAAGGACAAGATATGAATTTAAGGGAAACGAGCTGCAATCCTCATGAAAGCATTCAATTAATGCAAGTATGAAATCCCATCCAACTATTGTTCTTAAACAGAAAGAGGCGAATCTCATGGACTTTTCTTAACTTTCTGATCACAAGAAAATGACAAGCGGTCCCTCGGAGGCACACTGACGCAGACGAGAGCAGCAGCGGGTTATCAGGCGGCGTTCAGTGCCGTTATCTGCAGAAGAACACAGCTGCTGGTGGAGATACAGAAATAACTGCACAGACTCCAGAAACACTTCTGAGCCGGTCCTGCTCTGGAAACAGCTGATCCAGCGCTGTGAGTAATGGAGCTGAAGCCAGAAAACCCAGACTCACCTCCAGCGCATCCAGTGTGAACAGAAGCAGGTCGATCTGAAACCCTCCTGCATTCAGACTCTTACAGAACTGGAGCTCTGAGGAGTGCTGCTGCTGCTGTGTGAGAGTTTGATGACACTTCAGTCTAACCACAGCCATGTGTGAAGCTGGAAACATTCAGCGGTCAGAGAGTCGAGAAGAAGAGCTTCACAACGAACACGAGAAACACACACACACACACACACAACACACACACACACAACACACACA